CTCTGAAAAAGGTATACTGAATTATGATCAGTTTCTGCTATGATGAACTATAAGAATACATGATATACCCTATATTTTACTATTTTTACTATCTATTTTACTATGATTTTTTTACATATATTAATAAAGTTTTTCGACCAAAAGAGGTAATTTTCTCGTATTTGTAGATTTTAAGATCTTAACAGGTTTTATCATCAAAAAGATGTAAAATAGAGAAAAAGGAGTGTTATCTATGATGCAACTACTCATTCAAGTCAAAGGAACCAAGCCAAGTCATTTTATCTTGAAGATAATGCATATTCTCAAACTGGACAGAACATATATGCCAGAAGTTAGCTGATAAACGGAGGATCAAATCAATTGGGAATTTAGTGAAACTTGGTATGGAGATAGCCCTTTGAGTTATTTTTCCAATGGAGTTTGAATTTCATCAATTGGATACGTACTTTAGAAGATACACTGGAAACACTTAGGACATGTCAAACTGCCTTCGAAGTGAAGTGAGTGAACAAGGAAGCCAAGCACCGGGCCGCCCATGGGCCGATGATCCAGACCTTTTCCGACCTTCTAGAAGCACCAAGGAATCCTCTAATACCGGTCACGAAGCCCGACCGTTATTGTGAGCGGTATTGCCTCAGTTTCGACTAAAAAGACGTTTTTGTCCGAAGAAGCCCTAGCAGACTTAAGCCTCCTTAAACCCCTATGTATACTTGCTTTTAGCATCTCTAGGAACTTAAGCAGCTGCCCATAATAGCCTAAATCAATACGTAAACATGTATTTCGTTTTTCTCTTGTTCTGAATGCATATTTGATTCAAAAAGCCTTTAAGGATAGATTGACTTTGCCCTATTGCGAAGAGATGAGATCTAACTCCTTACGCTTTGTAGATCAATGATTTATCTTTATGTTTATGTATTTTACTCTTGCTGCTACGTGTTGCAAACATGTTAGAGTACTAACTTTGATTTGATTTCTATGCACCTTCTTAATTTTATGCTTTTACATACTTAATCGATTAGAGTTTCGTTCTAGAATTGATTCTTCATCTTTGTTAGCGTCGAATAGAATTAATATTTTTTCATTTTCCACGTAAAGATTGTGTTGGCGCATGGTGGCGGCAAANCCAAAAAATTTNAGATTAGCGTCGACTCTCCACAATTCGACGCTAATCTGAAATATTTTAACTGCGGTTCTTTAACAAAAAAACCGAAACATTTAATATTTAGATNTAGCGTNGAAATAGCGTCGACTTGTGGAAATTAGCGTCGAATTAGCGTCGAATANAATTAATATTTTTTCATTTTCCGCGTAAAGATTGTGTTGGCGCGTGGTGGCGGCAAACCCAAAATATTTCAGATTAGCGTCGAATTAGCGTCGACTCTCCACAATTATCATGAACTGGCTTAGCTACCCATGGGTTGATCTTAGGTTGATATACTCTCCAAAAGCTTGTTATATCTCCGGACCTAGTATTTGATGAGCTAGGCATCTTAACAATTCGATAGGTTAGTTAAAGAGTCCAGTGAACAATTAATCTTGATCATAAAGCATGTTTTCACCTTATAATAACCTACGATAGTTGAGTCTATTAGGGTAGAAAACGTAGAAGGTTAGTTACGTCACGACAGTGGGATGACCTTACATTAGTGATATGAGTTCTAGAGACAGTGGGATGACCTTACATTAGTGATATGAGTTCTAGAGACAGTGGGATGACCTTACATTAGTGATATGAGTTCTAGAACAACTAGTCTAAAAACCTAATTCGATTGCTTGTGTTTTGCATATGTTTTGTGAATTGCTTGAATTCTCATCTTAATTGATCTACCTATCCCTTTAATTATTGCTTGTTATTTGCTTCAATAAAAACCCTAAAAACCAAATAATATTTTTTCTTAGCTTAATTCAGGTTTGTAGTGCATTCATCACCTAG